CGCGCGCTCGCCGCGGCGGGGGAACGTGGCAACTCTCGCCTCGCAGGGAGCCGCGCACGACTTCTGCCCGGCGAAGGAAAGAAAAGCCTTGCGGGATCCGGAGGCGGGTTTCCAAGGGGTCCAAGGCCCGCCCTCCAAATGCGCCTTTGGTCTCTGCGGAGGATTAAACCTGCCTTGCTTTGCTTGGGGTCATTAGAGCCCCCGAGAGCATAAAAAGGCGAAACCTCAGTTCAGCTCCAGGGACTTGCCTTATCTTGGCAACAGTAAGGAAATAATGTAGCTTTGCTTTTGTTCTGGGATCCTTTCCCCCCCAAAGGGAGCCCATACAAGTGGGATTCCCTGGTGGTCTCCCATCCAAGCACTCATCATGCCCTACCCCACTTTTCTGAGATCAGCCAGGCTCTGCTAGGTGAGGAAAGGGAAAGGGAGTGACCGGATCAATGCTTCATAGTCCTTGCTTCCCTGGTAACCTTCATTTCAGCTGTTCAGTTTAGGGCAGAGGACATAGTCTTTGAATAATGGGTGCTTCTGGAACCCCAGGCAGGTGGATTTCCACCTCACTCAGGCTCCAGAGGAATCTAAAGCAGCAGTTTGGGGGGGGCAGGTGGCTCCCCCAGCTCGACTTCCACCTCATCCCATCTCCCTGTTCCCTCTGGCCGTCCCACAAAAATTTGGGTGTCTTGGAGAACGATTTGCATTCTTGCCTCGGCCAATGGAAGAAAGGGTGGGCACCTTATCCTTGACATTCGTCCTTTAGGGAAGACCCTGGGCAAGATTCTGGAAGGGGCTGAGAGATGCTGAGGACAGGATTCAGGATGGCGTCCCCTTTGGTATTTTTTCTCGGTCCAGCTTTAGTGGGATCCAGGTCCTTGCATCCTGTCTGAAAGAGATTGACCCGTTCCTAATTATTCTTTTATTACTATGGCATTGCTGCCTTTTCTTTGGGTCCCTCTGCTCATGTTGTCCTCATAACAATCTCAGTGGGGCTGCAGGAAAGCCATAGACCCCATCACCGGCTGGACCCCAAGGTTTGAGTCTAGCCTCTTCCCTGTTCAGTGGTCCTGGCTTGCACCCTTGGGAGACATTCAGAGATCGATCTAACAGTGTTTCTCAACCTTGACAGCTTGAAGGTGTGTGGACTTCAACTCCCAGAATTCCCTAGCCAGCCTTCTCCCCAGAATTCTGGGAGTTGAAGTCCACACATCTTCAAGCTGCCAAGGTTGAGAAACACTGCTCTAACAGCTTAACTGACCATCTCAGCCAAGGTTTCTTGGTCCTTGCTTCCCCACGAAGTGGGCAGTTCCAGGGCAACCTTGTACCAGGCTTGTGGGGGGGGTTTTTTTTTGGTTTTTTTTTTTTTTGAAGGAGACAGTAGTAGGATCTCCATGGTTTTCATAAGCAGGGCCTGTCCTACCATTCGCCAGAATGAGATACGGACATTTGGCCAGATAATAGCAACAAAATGGGGAAGCCAGCACAGAGATGATCCATCGCTCCTAACCTAAGATTTCCCCAGGATTTTAGAAGCAGCAAACCTTGTATTGGATGCCTCAAGCAGCAAATTCCCCCAGGCAACCCCGATTGGAAGCCAGATGTTTGCAAATTTAGAAATTAAAGCTGCCTCAGTTTGTCTACCAAGGACTTCTTGGCGTCCTTCAAATATTCCACACCAATCACCTGTCAACGTCAGACATATTTTTACCTACATTCCATTGCCAGATTGTTTTCCTCTTTCTCCTGCTAAATGAGAACAGATTCCCCCACCTGCCATAAAATAAGAAATAAATAAATAATCAATGGCCATTAAGCAAATATTTGCAACTGGGAAAACAGAGATGCCTCATGAGATCATTTTTCACTCCCTCCCAGATGGTGTTTGAGTTTCCAATGGATGTTGCAAGAAAAGCACGTGTTTCTCCAAGCTGCAACCAATTTGCATCTTCTTTCCTGTCCAGAAAATCGCTCTAGTGGCATGTGCTCGTTCATCTGGAAATATTATTTATCAGTTACGGTTAACCGTCTTGGAAAGCAGAGTATCGCCTGAGCAAGATGGCCGCGTGACATTTAGGAAAGAGAAACTCCAGGCGACAGCCATCTGGTGTCCCAAAATCTAATATATTCATCTTCCTTTGTCCAGTGAAGCAGACTCTGCAGCTAAATACCTTTCAGGTCAGACCTGGATGACATTTGAATATTTAAAACCTGGGGAAGAATTTGAGCCTTTCAATGAAACATTAGTCATGTAATAGATCTCGGGTTGCCCTCTTAACAACAAGTGCCATCTTCCTGCAGAATTACGAGGCTGCTGTTGGCTCATTCTGTGGATTATTACAGATAAAAATAATCTTTGGGAAGTGCTTTTTTTTTTAAAAAAAGCATGCTTTAACCTGTGGATTGGAAAGAGACCTCATGGGTAGGCCTCGCCCTGTGATTCCTGTTAGGGATGCCTAGTTGCTTTCAAAAGACTTTCTTTTGTGTCAGCGCTGGCTTGAGCTTCGCCTCTTTCATCTTGATCCTCGTAGCCATGGGCACTCAGAAGTGGATGACTGGGAAAATCCTTTGCAAAACTGGAGCCGAACTGGTCAACGCCACAGATCCCGAGCTGGTCAAGTTCATGGGGGAAATTTACTATGGGCTCTTTGGGGGCCGCAAAATGCGACAGTGTGGACTTGGGGGACGCCCTTCCAAATTCAAAAGTAAGTACCTCTTTCATTTCATTTTTCCTGCATTTGCAAATAAACATAGTCAAGTGAAGTTCTTTGATTATTATTGATTATTCAGCTCATTAGTTGCCCCTGGAGTTTAGTTTACCGGAAGTTCTCTTCTTCTGAAGTCTGGGCTGAAAAACGAATTCTGTTTGTCAACATGGTTTGGCCTAGGGAAAATTGATAAGGTGGAAAGTTGTGCATCTTACCGCAGAGAGGAGGGCTAATTCACTTGCTCCTTTGGCTAAGCATTGTCCATTGACAAAGCAAAGTCCCATTGGCTAAAAAAGGGACAGCTAGTGGGCAGCCAAAAACAATGAGACCTTGCTGCCCTCTAGTGGGGGTCCAAATGTTTGCAGACCAGATCTGGTAGCTGTACTGGACTTAAAATTATTATCCTCATCTTATGCAAAAGTAATGCAACCAGAATTGTTAGAGGAAAAGGTCAATGTTGGCAATCCTCTCAGTTATGACCAAGGCCAATTCTTCTGTACACCTCTTCTTTCCACACCAGGCCAAAAAAGCTTCTCTGTTTCATTATGTAGGACTAATTCGGAAGTTCACTTTTGCTTTACTTTTCTTCCTACCTTTATTAGTAATTTTCTTCTATGCTCAGGAAAGTGTAATTTGGGCTTGGAAGGATGCACAATATACAAAAAGCTCAAGAAGAACCAAAGTAGTCACCCACTTAATTAAAATGACAGAATGTACTCCAAAGGTCCAGAAAAATCAGCATGGCTCAGTGGAACCTGGTTCTGCTGTTTTTTACAAGTCCTCTGCAGAGAAGCCGAGTGAGTAAACCTTCTGTGGGAGAAGAACAAATAAAAGGGTGAGATGCTGTCAGTCTGAAGTTGCTCTCAGTCTGTCCAATAATGTGGTTGGGAGCCTGGAGTTACTTCTAGATCCAGTTTTGAGGCAACGCGGTCCGGGGTCGACAATCTGCCTGGCAGGTCTGCTGTGGGACCACCCGCTTCCATCTGGCTCTGGGCTTGGTTTCTGCTTTGATGGAGCAAAGCGGCAGAATCCACACCCACTTCCTTTTTCCTTCCTGGTGCAAAGACCGGACACTGACTAATGCACCTCCGGCTTAAATAAAATCGTAACCGAAAGGGTTCTCGGGGGGAATCCTCTTCCCATGGAAGCCGAGTCTCCTCCATGCCTCCCCTCACAGGATATTCTTTTTAAAATATTCTGTGAATTAAATTCTGGGCAGTTAAAAAGTCACTGGAAGTCAGGCAGCATATAAGTTATTATTGTTGTTATTGTGGTGGTGGTGGTGGTGGTCACACAGTCAGCCAGATGTTTAGACTGGATCTGACATTTTCACCCACCTATCGAGTCCTTCCCAAGGACCTGAGATAGGCAGATGTTGTTGTTTGCCATCATCATCATCATCATCATCATCATCATCATCATCATCATCATCATCATCATTCCAAAGCAACCTGTAAAGATTTGGCCTCAGCACACCACTCTATAACATTTATGGCACAGCTGCACAAATCTGCACTGCCACTAGGCGGCAGCCAGGATATATGAAAGGCTCTAATTCTTTACTGTCCACTAGGTTAATTGGTTTATGATTTTGCAGAAATTATGTAGATGGATGAATATCTCTTTGGCATACCCCCAAACCCCTATCTTGAACTTGCTCCCAAAATACTTACTTACTTACTTAGTCAATTTGTGTGGTCCCCCATCTCAAATAAATGACTCTGGGTGGCTAACCCTTACGCAGGAGATGCATCTCGGTGCACCAATTATTGCAATTAAGGGTGCTGAACCCTTTGCTGCCATTCGTTCTCAAGGTTGACAGTCTTTTTGGAGGAACAAATGGAAAAAAGTATTGATTGGATGGAGTTTATACTGTAGGGCGAACTTTGATAGCTTTTCCCACAGTTCATGACATTTGAAGTTCATCCTGGGAAAAGTGCCAATTGTTGCTGTTATGGCATCATATGGAGGAGTCGATGGATGGGTGCCCATCCTGGATATCCCCATTGTAGGTGGGTGCAAACAACAAAGTGTGTAGGCAGACAATTTATGCTGGTGTGGTTTCCTCCTGGTTCTGGTGCAAGATGAAACCACAATCCAGAGGTGCCCGCAGTGGGCGTCAAAAAGGTCCAGTGCATGTCAGGAGGGGTCTTCAATCACGTGGTCCCGGCCATCTTCTTGACTCCTGTGGAGACCTGTGGTGAGAAGCCATCCATCTAGAGAAGGCCTCACACCCGCTATTTACTTTTGAATTGACCTGAAGAATTGTGCTGATTGTTGGGGTTTTCTAAAAGCTAATATAATGAGGACATTATATTAGTTTAGTGGTATCTCTTCTGAGTAGCTGCTCTGGAAGCAATCTTAAATAGGGTTTCAAGGCTGGAAGATGATAATCGAGGCAGAAGATACCTTGGGATCCAAAGTCCAGGGAGGTTGATCATTGCTCCACCTCCCTGGACTTTGGGCAGAATAAAAAGGGCTTTATTGTTTGAAGTTAAGCATGCAGCAGCAAGGAGATTTGATATTGTGAAGAAAAGACGTTTTCCTATCTCCGAGGGCCTTGAAGGACCACCTGGGCCTGGCTGCACATGTTAAAAACCACACACTTGCTGGATCACGCACCTCTTCCTCGGCCATGAAAAGAGAAAGATCAGGCCGGCGCATCTGTAGCCCTTTCCTCACTTGGGCCGGCTTTCCCCCCGCCCCAACGAAATACTTTTATTGATCCATTTTCAAACAGGCATACATTGAATCACATAAAATAAAAGTACAGTAAACAACTTACTATACACCAAAGCAAAGCAAAGAAAAACTTTAAAGAAGAAGAAAATGCACAGACACACAAGCAAGCAAGCAAAAACTGTACAGTCATTACCACGACCTCCCAAGTCCACCTGAATCTGTAGACCTTGAAAAAGAAAAACTGACCCTAAGCAGGCTTAAACCTTTCTCAGCTGCACGGGTGTTAGAACAGTTTTTGCCCCTGAGTCTGCCTCTCCAGCATCAGCACACACATATCCTCCAAACCTCATTTTTCTGCTGAATTCCATCCAAGCTCATTTTTTGCTACATGCAAGCCTTAAGCCTCCCTTTCTGTGGGTTGCCAAGAGGGGGAAAGAATAGCTGGAGCTATTCAGGGATGCATGTAAAAAAAGGGGTGCGGCGTTGATCTCATGCTTGTGGCCACCATCTTGACTTCTTTGACCTCCTCTCTGCAGACACCCCTCGTTCACGAAGTTCTGTACCCTTTGCTGAGATAGTCCAAAGCTGAACGAGCCTATTTGCAACGTGGCAAATAAATTTTGCTAAATCACCCACACAACTATTTTAATGTTGCCAGATCTTTTGCATAATTCAGTTTAGAGTTGGGCTGTCCCGATACCAAACGTGTGTGGGCGTGCGCAGGCGAAAGTAATAAAAATCTGCAGTGAATCCAAATGGAAAAACTTTGTGGCATCTGAGACTCTCTGCCCCATTTTCTTACTGTGATTTTGTTTATTTATGGCATTTGTTTAGCTCCTCTATCTAGCTGGAATCTGTTCTTTTTTTTTTTCTCTCTTGCCAGTGTTTCCACACCTGGTGAAAAAGGTGAACACAACTCTCCACGTGACGATCATCCTCTTCCTGTCGGTGGCATTTTCCTTTGCCCTGGTCAGCTGTGGACTCTGCATCTTAAACCTCCTGAAAGTTCCTTTTCGGGCTATTCAAGGACCTGCAGGAATAGCTCTGTGGAACTTGCTTGCAGGTAGAGTGAACTCTTCTTTCTTCACGCCAATAATCCTGAAGTTGTGGGAAGGTCTAACATAAGGGTTTGAAGCCTCCTTCCACAGTCCACAGATTCTACCCATCAGGGGTATCTGCAGGGTGTGGTCAAAAAAGTCAAGATGGGGGCCACAACAGTGTGATTGAAGCTGCGCCTATTTTTATGTGCATTGATTGGACTGTTGTTGCCGCCATCTTGACTTTTTTGACCACACCCTGCCAACACCCCTCCTAACCATGCAGATTTCATGATTTGAGGGTGAATTTCAGCCCCCCCCTTTTTTCCATCACACCCTTTCCTGCCTGCTTTTTGGAATAGCTTGCACACCTGGAAATTTGAAAAGTTGCAATTTTTTTTGTAATTTTTTTTTTTTGTAATTCCTCCAAACTGGCCTAATAAAAATATTGCTGGAATTTGGACTGGGGAATTTAATAAAGAATAGCTTTGGCTAACAACTGCAGCAGAGTCCCACTAGAAACTTCTCTCACTAATGGCTATACATTTACAAGCCTGCTAAGCACAAATTTAAAAGTAAGTTAAGTTTATATTTTTAGTGTGAGTGTAAACATGTTTTTACACATTTTAAGGATTTCATTGTAAATGGCTGGGAGGCTTAGGTGATGCGAAAATGGTAATACAGGTAATCCTTGACTTACAACCATTCATTTAACAACCGTTCGAAATTACAACAGTGCTGAAAAAAGTGACTTATGACCGGTCCTTGCACTTACAACTGTCGCAATATCCCCGAGATCCCATGATCAAAATTCGAGCCCTTGGCAGCCAGCATGTATTTACGATGGTTGCAGCGTCCCGGTGTCACGTGATTCCCATTTGCAACCTTCCCAGGGGGCTTCCAACAAGCAAAATCAATGGGGGAAGCTGGATTTGCTTAATGACCACATGATTCAGTTAACAGCTGCTGTGATTCGCTTAATGACCGCAGCAAAAAAGGTTGTAAAATTTGGCATGACTCACTTAATGACCACATTGCTTAGCGATGGAAGTTCCAGTCCCAATTGTGGTCATAAGTCAAGGACTACCTGTAAAGTAAAAGAAAAATATGAATTTCTGAAAAATAATCACATACCAAATATTTGATATGTGTGGCACTGAATCTCACTCCAGTAAAACTCACATAATGCAATTCACGAGAATATCAGTTTCTGGAGTACAATTTGAGGTAGGTACCTGCAAACTCAATAGATGCAACATAGTAAAATATTTCCTGCTTGTAAGCTATGAATGGAAAATAATTTGATTACATTTGCCCTCTGAAATTACAGGCTCCACTAACCCACCCTTTCGTAAAGGTAAAGGTAAAGATTCTCTTGAGTCATGCTTAACTTCTGATGGCTACATGGATATGTATGTCCCTACTGCTTTCTTGACCACAGCACAAACTTAAAAATTAAAAAAAAAAGTTAAAACTATTTTTTTTTAAGTTTCTTTAATTTTCTATCTGGTAAACATTTTTAAATTATATATTTTAATTTTCAAGGATCCCTTGTGCATGAAAAGCAAAGTGAGCATCTGGCCCCAGAGGCACCTGACTGTTGAGCCCCCTCGGCTCAAAATGGATAGTTACAGGAAGCCCTCAAACCTCTCCAGAGCCCGGGGAAAAAATGGAAAACCAAACTCTGCTCATGTGATGAGGTGGCCTCCTTCATTTTGCATCCATGTCCTGGTCTCGGGGGCTTTGGCCTCTCTTAGTTAGGTGCAAATCTTTGGCTATCCAAACGTTGTGCCCCACTGACAACAAAAACCCAGGATCAGCTTAGAAATGAGAGTCAGCTGCTTTGTAGGGCAGGTGCACGAATGACTTTTTATTTCACATTTGTTTCTAGGAGGATGTACCACGTTGGCCGTGATCGCTTTTGTGGCAGCTGTCAAACTGCATCGGCTTACAGAAAGAATTGCCAATTTTCGGGAAAACGGCTTCCAGTTTCTCATCCTGGAAGAAGAGTATATGCCTTCTTTCTGGCTTTGTGTAGCAAGCGCAACAATCCACGGGCTGAATCTGGTCATAGTTGCCCTCAGCACAGTTCGCTTCCTGACTCCAAAAATGAAGACAGAAGAAGCAAATGTCACAGCAGAAGACATCATGTACTAAACTCTTTGTTTGCCGCTTATTCTCTTCTAGACTTCCATGATCCGTTGACCATCTGCGGTACTTTGAAGACACTGACATCAAGTAGGGCAACTGGGCCTAGAAGGGGGAAGATCAGCACCACAAACAGGTTGATTTCGGCAAATGCTGAGGTCCATGGACAGCCAGGCCCACTATGTCCATACTCTGGAAGAAGATCATATCTCCCTCACCACATTCAAAACTCTAGGAGCCTTTCACCTTCTCCTGCTGGTTATAAGGTCTCATCCATAGATCTTCCAACCACCAAAGGAGGACATTTACCTTTGCCCCAACATTGTTCATTGGAAAACAGACATCTTTGCTTAATGAAAGCTAATTCAGTATATTCAGGAAAAACTCATAATTAGTCCTTGTTCTGTACCTCAGAAGCTAAAGAGGTGAGATGGCATTATCAGAGTTTCTTTAAGTGTAAGGAACAAAGATATAACTTTTCCTCCTATCATGTGAAACTTTCTATGTGATTATTTTTGAAGTGTGCTAATTCATAACCAGACATGTTACTGTCGGTGAGATTCCATAAGCCTCTGCTGAAGATTTAAAGGAACTTTGCCTCTTTTGAGAAGCAACAAAAAAATTAGATGAACAACCACAGTAATTCCTACTATGGTTTTTGGCTCCCTCATGGGTGGGCTAAAGAACTGGCTTTCCCAGCCAAGAATTGTGAAATGTTTGGCCTAACATACATACAATTCATGGCTCAGGTTACCTGAAGTGTTTTGTTGGAGAGCTTGTCATATGGCATTCCCTTGTCCTATTGTGCAAGGGAGTGGAATCATGGAAACTATTGTGAGCGCTCAGTCATGGGACTCCATGGGTATTTGTGGGGTGGAGGTCCAAATCTGCAAGATGGCAAGTGGGGCATTGTGATCCAAGCCCTGCTTGCCATCTTGCAGATTTTGACCACCTCTCCAGATGCTGCTGTTGAGTTCTTTTAGTGATACTGCCCATAAAACACTAAACAACATTTCATCCTTCTCTTCTCAATGCAGGAAAAACGGTGCTGATGAGCCAATAGGACAAATCACTTGCTCTATGTCTCATTTTATTTTAAATTACTTGTTTCATTTGTATTCTATTTTATGTTGCATCACTAGCCCATTTTGACTACCTTTACTGATGCAATATCCTACTCATATTATTATAACTGTAATTATCTTCAAGGATCAGTCATAGATAGTCCTTTGTGTCTTCTTTGAACGGAAGGATTACCTATGACTTGAAGATAATTAAACAGTCATAATATCCTCAGCATCTTGGAATTTAACTCAAGCTTCTCTGATAAAATGGACTATGGAAAAGGAAAAATCATAACAGAACAAGTCCAGGTTCAGAGACTATATCTCTCAAAGCCACTAAAAATGGACAAATATATGCTGGATGAGATATGCATAAGTAAAACTAGCAACAAAACAAATCTGATCTCCATTTCTCTCCTGAATGATTTATTGTGGAAAGAATAAAAATGGAACTATGTGAGTCCAAAGGGAAAGCAACAGACTTCAGATTCTGCAAAATTCAGTGTATGAGGCAAGGAAATGCATTGCCTTGAAGCATTCCTGAACTGGGAAATTAGATGTTCGTAAGTAACACATTCCGATGCTGGGATGTGTCTGTATCTATAAATCCCAGAATTTCATAAGAATGGTTTTCCCTGTGATACTCTTTGGAAGCAAAAGTGGACTTGGAAGCAGCAGGATAGGAAGAGTACTGATGCTTTTGAACTTTGGTGTTGGAGAAGACTCCCGAGAATACTGTGGATAGCTAAGAAAACAAACAGATAATTGAACAAATCAACTTGGAACACAAATGACCAGGCTCAAATTATGCTACTTCAGACACATTATGTGAAGACCCGGCTCTCTGGAGAAGGCTTTAATGCTGGGAAAGGTGGAAGGAAAGAGAAGAAGAGGATTAGCAGCAACAATAACGGATGCACCATTGGAAGATCAGGAGGACCAGGTTGGAGACAGTCCAACCAGGTTGGAGAGTGTCCTGGAGAAGATCTATGTGGTCCCTAAGAGCTGACAGCAACTTGATGGCACATAGTCAAATAACAGATATCCCCATCTATGCATTCTGTTGCCCAAAGCATGAGAATTATTATGTTCCCCCTTAGAAGGGACGTAGGGAGAGACAAAGCTGCTCCTAGCATGGACTGTACAAGGAGATTTGCAGCTTTATGGAAATGGGGAGAGTCCAAGAGCCACAAGACCAGGACCTGCAGATGTTCCAGCCCACGGAAAAATGGCCTCCCCTCATCAAGTTGCAGCATCTCAAATCACAAAACAAAGCTGTGCTATAATGGAAGAGGAAGAGAAGAGAGGGTTGGAAGGGGTTGACTGACTTTCCCCAAAGCTTCTGTAATTCTACCAATCCAAATCGTCATTTGTAATTGCCTTTTGGACTGGTCAGGCTGTTTCTTGAGACAACCCGCCAAGGGGAAGCTCCACATCTTCCTCAGGATAACATGTGTGAGTTCCACCAGCCATGGACCTCTCAAGCCTTGCTTCAAGTGGGAATTCCTGAGATCTGCTAAGAGCAGGCAACCAATGAAACGTTGGCATCTCGATCAAATGAAACCTCTTCGTGTATGAACATGAACAGGGAGAACTAGTCTTTTGAGGCCTGTGAATGGAACCTGCAATTAACATGTAATTCATTATAAAATAAGTTTGTTGTTAGGAACTCTAACTGGAAATAGATTACTAGAAGGAACACTAGATGGTTTGCAGTTCTAAGCAACAATCACCAATTGGGATTTAAAAAAGGGTTCTTAACACTACTAGCTGAAGGCTTTTGGTAGCTATGCCACCAATTTCTCTGTAATGGATATTTTTTTGGGGGGGGAGAAAGAAGCAGTGATAAAACCCAAATGAGTTCCAAATGTTTAGATTTCTCACTGATTGATTGATTGATTGATTGATTGATTTGATTTCTCTCCCACCCATCTCCCCTACAATAGGGGGCTCTAGGGGACTAACCCAATGAAACTTCCAAGAGGGGCTTTTCCCACCTCTTGGAAGTTTCATTGGGAAGCATCATAAATGTCATTGGTTTTGTAAAAAAAAAAAAGTTGAAGAAATATTTTTGGGCATCAGCATAAACTTTATTTGAAGACATTGGATGCAACATTCAATAAGGAATGCATACTATTAGATTATCCCTTAAAAATCACGGGAAGCAACCCTTCTGTTTTTAATGAGTTATAGTAATGCAGAAATGTTTGCAGCAAGATACACGAAAAACAACACAATTAATGGAACAGAAATGTGTTTCAAAAAGAGAGGGCCTCATTTTTCCAAGGAGTGACTAGTTAACATGTGGCTTGTCTGGACAGTTTGTCTTTGCCCTTTGAGAAGAGAGAGAAGCTGGAGACTTAGAGCATTATTGCATTTGCTTTTTATTTGCGAAATGTAGCAGACATAGACATCAAGCAGTGTGACTGCCTGTCCTGCTCCAGATGTTCACTGAGCAATTGCACCTCCTTGCAGTGTTTCCTTTGGGTCCCAATATGCCCTCTAAGGAAAGGAACAACCCCCCCCCCCCCCGATTTCTTGTACCTTGAGGCTGCCCTTTGACAGTGTTGGAATAAGAGATAAAACCAGGGGTGTTCGCAACATGTGGTCAAGCAAGTCCAGATGGTGGCCACAACGGTGAGATTAAAGCTCTGCCCATGTTTTTGTGTGCACAGCTTTGACTACCCCTTTGTGGTCACCATCTGGACTTTTTTTTACCATACCATACAATTGTTATACGCCATCCAGAGTCACCTCATTTGAGATGGGCAGCTATATAAATATGATAAATATATACATACATACATACCCCTGGGGAAACAGAGCTTGGACACCTAAGATCAAACCTGACTCACTCTTCAGCTGAAAATGAGAAGACCACAACCTCATGGAAACAGGGTAGAAGAAAGAGGTTGCCCAAGGCATATTTGTGCCATGATTAGGAGCAAGTGAGGAAAGGACTTGGGTTAGCCATTGAGTTGACCCAAACTCCAGCAAGTTTTCCAAGATAGTTACCAGGATGTGACCACCCATCCCTGGCATTGGCCTTGCTGCCTCTGCTTGGATCCAGGTTCTGACTTGGAGCAAAACTGAAGTCCTGCCCTTGAAAAGAAGAAAAGGGATCCATGTTCCCATATGGTGACTTCCTTCTCCCAGTTCAAGGGGAGAAAAGAGACGGCTTGTTCCCTCTCCCCTTCCCAGGACCATCCACTCCTCCTTCCCGTCTCTGCTTTTTGCTTCCCAAGTGCCTTTACTTGCCTTTCGATTCCATACAGAGGTTTGAGCATCCAGAGCTCTGCAGCTGGTCACATTTAAGTCATCCTAATGAACTTAATTCAGGGAGTGACGCCAGCTTTGTTTTTCATACTGCCTGCATCCTACTGTCTTTAACTGGGTCACGCCACCTTTGAACAGCATGTTGGGAGCCACCCCACAGAAAATGGGGGGCCCATAAAATTAAAATTAAAGCAAATGTGAATATTTTCATGGATCTAATTAATTCACACAAAGAGCATACCTCTTTTGCTCACATCCCAGTTGATGCCTAGCTTTTAAACACTTAAGGGGAGAAAGCCCCCATCCCTCTTTAAAAGACTTTCCTGGGTGTAAGAAATAGGACATAGGTAGGTTTGTTGTTTTTACAGTAGCTTAAGAGATAAATGAATATGGAGAATTGTTTATGGCATAATGGTTATGGCTTTGGACAAGCAGAAACAAAAGAAACAGAAAGGGAAGAAGGTAAATGGCTGCAACAGGACGCAGCTAGCTTAACCACGAACTGCAGGTATTGACAGGAACACAGTAGCCTTTAAGATGACACCTAAGTAGAAGTACCAAATATGGACAATTGTAAATAGGGGTAAGGGGCTTTGGAGTAGAGTAATGGGAGATGTAAACTAAGGCAGGACTTCTGGGAATTGTATTAGGCATATCGGATAGGTTGTAAACTCCCCAGTACCTGACCAATGGGGAACCGGGCTTTTCGCATCTGTGATAGGGAATATAAGGAAGACCAATTGCTAAGATCTGGGTCCACCTCATTGCTAATGTGTGTGTACCCATTTTTGCAAAATTGTTAATAAATACTTTGCTACTTCTGAAGTCCTGAGTTGGGTTTTATTGATAACACCGGGTATAATTTTTGATCCAGAGGCAGCAGGAAAAACCAAGATTTCTTAATATTATTCTCTGGAGGAAGACAGAGGACGGCTGGTCTGCCTTCATAGACAAGCTGAAGTTTTATTGTAAATGTAGGAGCAGCCTAAGTTGGTTTAAAGGTTTCTTTGCTAAAGGTCAGTGTTTTTCAAACTTGGCAACTTTAAGATGTGTGGACTTCAATTCCCAGAATTTCCCCCCCCACCAGCGGGGGACGCTGGGGGGTGGAAGCCACACAAATTTAAATTTCCAAATGTGAAAAAAAAACAACTCTTTAAAAGAAACAATTTAA